AGGACAATAGTCCGAATAATGTAAATAGTGTACATAATACCTCATCTCAGAAATATAGACAGATACTGAAGGATCGGATAAATATGGCAACAAAGATGAGGACAATAGTCCGAATAATGTAAATAGTGAATATAATACCTCATCTCAGAAATATAGACAGATAATGAAGGATCGGATAAATATGGCAACAAAGATGAGGACAATAGTCCGAATAATGTAAATAGTGTACATAATACCTCATCTCAGAAATATAGACAGATACTGAAGGATCGGATAAATATGGCAACAAAGATGAGGACAATAGTCTGAATAATGTAAATAGTGAATATAATACCTCATCTCAGAAATATAGACAGATAATGAAGGATCGTATAAATATGGCAACAAAGATGAGGACAATAGTCCGAATAATGTAAATAGTGTACATAATACCTCATCTCAGAAATATAGACAGGTACTGAAGGGTCGGATAAATATGGCAACAAAGATGAGGAAAATAGTCCGAATAATGTAAATAGTGTATATAATACCTCATCTCAGAAATATAGTCCGTAAAATTAATGTCTACCTGCTTAGATCATCAAAAGTCTTATAAAAGAAAATGTACTCATTGAAAACAATCGAAACTATTCCCCTTTTCTTGGAAACCATCGTTTGGCCAGATGTCTTCTCTATTCAATCACTGAAGCCATTATTTCATTCATGCTGTTTTTTTTATATCAGTAAGCTTATATTTTCACACCTGAAACATAAACGAATTAATTTAAACAATGGATCAATGGATTGCTTTAATCAAATATTGTTGCATACTCCCTCTCTTTTGGGGAGTATTAGCCACTGCGCCAAATACGCAAAATGTTGCATAACCCACCCCCCGTTCTGGGGGGTCTCTCTTAATTGACGGTCTTGAGACGATCTTAATAATAATAATAATAATAAAATTGGCTTCCTCTATTTCTTCTCTCGGCCGGGTGATCGCAACTTGGTTTTTAGAGTCCTGAGATGAAAGAGACATCAACAAAGGGAATTTGAAAACTTATCTAATTTATTAAACATGTCGACGTGTACACATTTAACTAGCCAGTGGGACCGCTCTATCACTCCCACTGGGGAGAAAGTTGCCCGAGACACGAAATAGCCACGTTTACTGTGTATGACGTGTGAAAACTTAACTCCCTGAAATCACTTTCTATCTCTCTAACATTCCAACGTTCGGCTCAGGCAAGCAAAATCGACATCTCTATTTTGTCTACCATCTGACCGTAAAGGTCAGCTTCGGAAGGTCTGAGCCAAAATACACTGCCACTAAAAAAAATAATTGTCTGAAACTATTATTTAATAATATAATTTATTACTATAAATGTCATTTTATATTAATTTGAATTATAGAGTTTGAAGGTTAATGACAAAGCGGAAAAAATTTGTGGTGTATTTCATAGGAATAAAGTGATATCTATGTGAATGTAGGAGAATGGAAATTTAAAAATTTTAAATTTAAATTATCTTTTTAAATGTGTTTGGGTATATGACGTGTTCGGCGGAGAAGGGACTTGTTCAACATTTGATAATTTTGCAGCAATACGCGCTTAAAGGTTTTAGGCAGTTTTGATTAACGTTTCTTTTTATGGTTAGCCGTAACGAATTGTAAATGTAGAACGACCTTACAGTTAAGTAAAATAATAACAATAACAATATTTATTAAGAATTTATTACAGGAAATATCGTGTTTTACAGAAGGCTGGCATCTCGGTCCCAACCTTTCACTGTCGAAATAGTTAAATGTAGCCGTCTCTTCTACAATAGCTTCTTCTTTCGCACCTCCCGTCTGTGGAATTCCCGTCCTATTACTTGTTTCCCTGTTAGCTATAATCTTCATATATTCAAATGTAATGTCAATCGACATCTCCAGATGCCTTGATCTATTCCCTATCCTTCTCTTCATCCTTTCCTCTATCACGCCTCTTTACTCTCGATCACACTCTCTGGAACCCCTTGCGTGCTAGTGGCATCCCGCCTTGTTTGAGGTGAAATGCTTTAAAAAAAAAGTGAGAAAAAAAACATTGTTGACAATTATTTATTTAGTTACATAATAAATAAATAAAAATAATATAAATTTTGATGCTATATTCGATTTGTTGTTAGGTATTTTTCATTTTCTCCTTTGTTATTGACAGCATTTTAGAATACTTTGGCTGCAATGCTAAGTTTCCTAAGTTGAACAAACTGGAGATATTTCGTTTATGCTTTGTGACCTCTCTTTTCCATTGTTGTTTTTAGATCGCTTTCTCCCAGTCATTTTGATGAGCAACAGCAAATTTCTGAAATTCACAATGATCTTATTCCATTTAAAAAATAAAGCCTGTAAAAATGAATATTTCAAATTAATATACAACCCAAAATAAAATGCTTTTAACAAAGGAGCTTAAGGATTTCACTATAATTATATAACAATAATATAATCTACAGTTTATGTTACCTCATCTCATTGCATGGTTACGAACTCTAAACCTAAATTGAGTTTGAAATATTGTGTAATCGGCTGTAAGTTTTTGTAAAATACTTGGATATGATATAATAAATAATTTGCAGTGAAAAAAGCAATTTTCGATTTTTTGTTGAATACGTCCCTTCTCTCCGAACGCGTCGTATAGTCTAGCCACTTTAATTTAGTTTCTTTATGTACATGTTTCCATCAATTTTGTTATTAAATATCTCACATCACTTTCGTTATTAAATATCTGAGAAGAACTGCCAAGAAAGGTGAAATGCTTTATGAATCTGGATCAGATTATCTATAGCAATTAAAGTACATTCTTTGCAGTTCCATCTGAGTAAATTGCTTTCTTTTTGTTTATATTTTATCACGTTTTTGTTTTGTTATTATTAAAAATCCCATATTCAAGGGTCCCAAAAAGTACTACAGGGTTCTGAGTGAAATATCGTCTATCGTACTGACAACACCCAGCTCTTTACAATGACTGAGATGGACGAATATACTTGAACAAAAAAAATGAACTTTTTCCACAATTTTGATTTGGATATACTACAACTTCAATATCTCGCTATATCTCTGAGATGAGGTATTACGATTACTTGCATTATTTGCATTATTCGGACTGTTGTCCTCATCTTCATTGTCATATTCACAACGTTTCGGCCGTTGTACGCTCCAGCCTTCTTCAGGTGATTGGAATTTTGAACTATATCTCTGAGATGAGGTATTATGATTACTTGCATTATTTACATTATTCGGACTGTTATCCTCATTTTCATTGCCATATTCACAACGTTTCGGCCGTTTTACGCTCCAGCCTTCATCAGGTGATTGGAATTTTGAATTATATTTCTGAGGTGAGGTATTATGATTACTTGCATTATTTACATTATTCGGACTGTTATCTTTATTTTCATTGCCATATTCGTAACCTTTCGGCCGATGTACATTCCAGCTTTCTTCAGGCGATTAAAATTTCAAACCGAACCCTTAAGGACACATGGGCCAGTGGATAATGACGTTGGTTAGCTCCAGTAACTAGACCAAGAGCGTTGCGAGTTCAATACCAGGCCACAGCAGTGGCGAACCAAAACTTGGGGAGTTGAGCTAAAGCAAAGTAGCTGAGACATCCGGAAGAGGCATGGCATGTGGAACTAGAACAATCTACCCCGGTGAACAAATTAAATTATTATTGTGGGACAGGTTATTGATGGAAGAATTTGTTCACTCTCGAACAATTATCTCTCGAGTCAAAGTTTTAATCACTGTACATTTCTGTGTACTTTATCCATATATATATATATATATATATATATATATATATATATAAGTGAACATTGAAGTCAACACTTAGAGGCAATAGTCTGTCTCATGCTAGACGCAATCGTGAGGCCTGACAATTACGTCTAGCATGAAACAGACTGTCGCCTCTAAGTGTTGGTTTCAATGTTCACTTTTATATTTACACACGCTCTATCTCTGATATTGAGCACTTTATCCCATAAATATAGCACACCTTAAGACTATATTTCTTCATATATATATATATATATATATATATATATATATATATATATATATATATATATATATATATATGGGGAAAGTGTGACAAAGTGGAAAAGATTTTGTGTAATGCTTTTCCCTATGAGGACTTCGGACTGTAAGAAGCATATGTGGACAATCTTTTTCTACTATATATATATATATATATATATTTCTACTATATATATATATATATATATATATATATATATATATATATATATATAGATGATTTAAATAAAATTTAAATAAAAATATTTTAATTATATGATGACAATTTAAACTAATTTATTCGCAACAGGGTGGAAGATATTACTAACCATAAATATACGGTTTTACACACACACACATATATATATATATATATATATATATATAGATAGATAGATAGATAGATAGATAGATAGATAGATAGATAATTAAATAATATAAAAATTTCAGAGACACAGTTATCAACTCTAAGTTTCACAGAAATCATTCTGCTTTTCAAGGGTAAAATAAATCAATTTCTTTCAGTGAAAACTTTCTTTGTTATTATTATTATTATTATTATTATTATATACGTTTGGTAATGTGTTCTTGAGCACTAGAGAAACTTTTCGATGTTGCAGACAAGGGGATGTTTATGAATGCTTTCAGGCTGGTGTATCTTTCGAACAGTTCCCATCGTTCAAATTCTTCAGATTCCCTCACATCAAAGAATTCGCAATGTCAGTAAAAATTGATTTCTGATGAGACGTGGAAAACTTGTCTGGCTTCAAAGTCAATCTCAGTTCCAATCAAATCAGTGTTCCAAATCAGTGAAGCGATTCTACGAGCAAACTATCAGTTGTATGACAACTTATCAGCAGTCCTGTGAGTTTTCAAAGTCTTGAAATTGACAACAATTCGCAATGGATTCGGATGACTTACTCCAAGGAGTCTCATCAGAGATGACCATCTGAGAAAATGTTGAGATCATTTAAAAGAAGGCATTTGTCTGGTGATACAATATATACACTGATAGATAGATATGAACAGAATGAGATATAGATAGATAGATAGATAGATAGATAGATAGATAGATAGATAGATAGATAGATAGATAGATAGATAATGAACTGACAGAGATAGATAGATAGATTATGAAGCGACATAGATAGATAGATAGATAGATAGATAGATAGATAGATAGATAGATAGATAATGAACTGAGAAAATTAGATATATAGATAGATAGATAATGAACAGACTGAGATAGATAGATAGATAGATAGATATAGATAGATAGATAGATAGATAGATAGATAGATAGATAATGAACTGACAGTGATAGGTAAATAGATAATGAACAGACTGATGTAGATAGATAGATAGATAATGAACTGACAGAGATCAATAGATAGATAGATAGATAGATAGATAGATAATGAACTGACAGATCAATAGATAGATAGATAGATAGATAGATAGATAGATAGATAGATAGATAGGAAATGTTGCGGTGATTTAAAAGGCATGTTTTGTTGAGCTAATGTGTTTCTGGATTCCTGTGGGATGAAGTGGGAGTGGAATCTATGGAATCGGATCTATGATTGCATTTCCAAGTTGTTCTAATTTTGGTTGAGCTGGGAACTTTTCAGCAAGTGAAAGAATATCTGATTTACCTGAGAAGTGAAACAATGTGAGGATCATAAAAACGCTTTCTGGAAAGGGCAGAGAAATCAAAATGGCAGGAGATCACTATTTACATTATTGCCCTCATCTTTGTCGCCATATTTATTACGACGCTTTATCCACTGTGACATATACCCTTGAGGACACATGACACAGTGGATAAAGGCGTTGTTTAGATCCAGTGACAGGACCCAAAGTGTGTGAATTCAATAATCGGTTAAGGCAGTAGAGAATTTTCAGAGGGAATTTAACAGAAGATAACTGATAACTGACATCCATTAGACATGGCACGTGGAACTAGAACAGTCTAACCTAGTGAGTGAAATAAATTGTTCAGTTCGACATTCCAACCAACTGAAGGCCGGAGCGTACAACGGCTGAAATGTTGTAATAAATATGACAACAAAGATGAGGACAATAGTCCGAATAATGTAAACAATGTACATAATACCTCATCTCAGAAATATAGGCAGTTACTAAGCTGTGTTTTTAAGGAGAGAATTAGGAGCTTTGATGGTAATAGTGAGAACAGCCATTTTCATACAAGAAACATTTGCTATGTGTTAACTGAAGTCTTACTCTTGGCCAGAGTGTACAACGGCCGAAATGTTGTAATAAATATGGTGACAAAGATGAGGACAGTAGTCCGAATAATGTAAATAGTGTACATAATACCTCATCTCAAAAATACAGACAGATAGTGAAGGATCGGATAAATATGGCAACAAAGATGAGGACAATAGTCCGAATAATGTAAATAGTGTACATAATACCTCATCTCAGAAATACAGACAGATACTGAAGGATCGGATAAATATGGCAACAAAGATGAGGGCAATAGTCCGAATAATGTAAATAGTGTACATAATACCTCATCTCAGAAATATAGACAGATAGTGGAAGGAGATCACAAGAATATTTTCTGGAAATGAAAGAGAAAATGAGAAGGTTAAGGATCCTAAAGACACTCACTGGAAATGATAACCAGGGAATATTAGGGTTTGAGCCTTTTATATTATATTCTTACTCTGCCCTGGACATTGAGGTCTACCTGGATTCTATCCTCATGGGAATTTATATATATCTATATATATATATATATATATATATATATATATATATATATATATATATATATATATATATATATATATATATAGGATGTTATAGATAAATTGTCACCTAAATTACTCAAAAAATGAAAATAACATCTACATCGCATTTTAACAGATATATTTACCAAGACTACACAAAAATACACACACACAGACACACACAAACACACACACACACACACACAGATATGTATATATATATATATATATATATATATATATATATATATATATATATATATATATTAATTTTAACCCCAAGCAAGACAATAATGTCACTAAGATGCAAGAGGATACTAGAAGTAAAAGAGAAGAAAAAGTCTTTAGAAGGAATCATAAACTGAATCCTAAACAGGAAAAATGGATAAACCTCTACTCCTTTAAAAAAAAAAAACAGGCAATAGTATGAGCTGAATGTTAGAGAAACCTGCATATATATATATATATATATATATATATATATATATATATATATATATATATATATATATATATATATATATATATATATATGTACATGCTTCTGAAAAAAGTATTTTAGGGATAAAAGTGAAATTGTAATCTATGACTATTACTGCTGCTTATGCAAGACTCTTCATTAAGATGAATCGAGTTCTCCAGTCACTGGCATGTTTAGCTAAAAAAAAAAAAGAAAAAAAGGCGTCTAAATTAACCTTCATCCCTGCCGTGCACTAATGGCTTAGGGGTAGAGTCTCTGACTAATAACAGATCTGTCAGGTTTTGATCCCGGCTTTAGGCAATCGGGTGTCTAGTCACACTGATGAGCTGTGAAACAGCCAAACAGTCTGTCTACGGATGACATATATATATATATATATATATATATATATATATATATATATATATATATATAATATCATTATTATTATTATTATTATTATAATTAATTCTCTGCTACTCTCGTGGCTAAATCATTATCAAATCTGACCCTCTCTCCACCACGTGCAATTCACGCGTGACGTTGCATACAATTATGTCTGTGTTATACCTGAGTGATTTACATGTGCACGTGCAAACATGCAGAAAATTTAACTGAGTTTCAAATGATGCACTCCTTCCCACTCAGTCTGTTCAACTCCTACCCTGAGATGAACAATAATATCTCAATTGAAGTTTAAAAAAATTAATAGAAAAAAGTCAAATGATTTTATTGAATCTTTTTTTAATGATTAGAATGTGTTTTTTCATTATTTAAAAATTTTTTAGAAATATTTTTAGGTCGGTCATTGAATCAAAATATGCATGTTCTAATTTCCCTTTGTGTCTGGGAACAACACCTGGGTAACAGGAAAAGAGTACCAGCTATCCCTTTGAAGTCATTTTCATGACTCTTTCTGTATTTAATTCTGAATATATTTTCTAATAAATGTAAAATTTTAAATGGACAACCCATTCAGATTTGAAATTTGATCATCTTGCTATCAGCAAATAGTATTTAATAAAAATCAAATTTTTATGACTCTTTCTGTATTTAATCTGAATATATTTTCTAATAAATGTAAAATTTTAAATGGACAACCCATTCAGATTTGAAATTTGATCATCTTGCTATCAGCAAATCAACAAGTATTGAACTAGTATTTAAAAAACCAAATTTTATGACTCTTTCTGTATTTAATCTGAATATATTTTCTAATAAATGTAAAATTTTAAATGGACAACCAATTCAATTTGAAATTTGATCATTTCCAAAAATCAACAAGTATTGAACTAGTATTTAATAAAAACCAAATTTTTATGACTCTTTCTGTATTTTAATCTGAATATATTTTCTAATAAATGTAAAATTTTAAATGGACAACCCATTCAGATTTGAAATTTGATCATCTTGCTATCAGTCAACAAGTATTGAACTAGTATTTAATAAAAACCAAATTTTTATGACTCTTTCTGTATTTAATCTGAATATATTTTCTAATAAATGTAAAATTTTAAATGGACAACCAATTCAGATTTGAAATTTGATCATCTTGCTATCAGCAAATCAACAAGTATTGAACTAGTATTTAATAAAAACCAAATTTTTATGATTTAATCTGAATATATTTTCTAATAAATGTAAAATTTTAAATGTACAACCCATTCAGATTTGAAATTTGATCATCTTGCTATCAGCAAATCAACAAGTATTGAACTAGTATTTAATAAAAACCAAATTTTTATGACTCTTTCTGTATTTAATCTGAATATATTTTCTAATAAATGTAAAATTTTAAATTAAAATTCAGAATTTGATCATCTTGCTATCAGCAAATCAACAAGTTTTTTAATAAAAACTTTTTATGACTCTTTCTGTATTTAATCTGAATATATTTTCTAATAAATGTAAAATTTTAAATGTACAACCCATTCAGATTTGAAATTTGATCATCTTGCTATCAAAATCAACAAGTAATTATTTAATAAAAATCAAATTTTATGACTCTTTCTGTAAGTTAATCTGAATATATTTTCTAATAAATGTAAAATTTTAAATGGACAACCAATTCAGATTTGAAATTTGATCATCTTGCTATCAGCAAATCAACAAGTCAGAACTAGTATTTAATAAAATCAAATTTTTTATGACTCTTTCTGTATTTAATCTGAATATATTTTCTAATAAATGTAAAATTTTAAATGGACAACCAATTCAGATTTGAAATTTGATCATCTTGCTATCAGCAAATCAACAAGTATTGAACTAGTATTTGATAAAAACCAAATTTTCATGACTCTTTCTATATTTAAACTGAATATATTTTCTGTCAAATTTTAAATGGACAACCAATTCTGATTTGAAATTTGATCGTCTTGCCATCAGCGAATTAACAAGTATCGAACTAGTTTCAGCTCTAATCTTTGCCATAATTATTGAAATCTTATTTACTGCTTTAATTGTGACCATTACTAATTACTATATTAATTGTATCTGTAGGAATTTAGCACCGTGTCAACATGTCGTCGTCTTTGATGCTTTCTCAATTAGTGCTGCACGTCAGAATTCAAGTCAACAGCCAAGCGATCCATCTTTGACGCATCAGATCGATAATGATGACCATTAACAGGTGTTTGTTCTCGTTATGGGTTGAGGGAAAGAAAGTTAAGGCCTCTTGGATTAAAGAACAACAAAATAATGGGAATAAGACACAGAGAGAGAGAGAGAGAGAGAGCGTTTAAAGTGAGGATACAACAATGAATTTCACAGTTGAGCAGTCAAAACTACCATCTACCATTCCACAGCCAACATTCCCCATCTACCATTCCTCAGTAATTGTCATTCCTGCTTCGAGTACAAACTTGTCATCCAACTCTTGATACGATCTGACATGTCTCATAACCGGGGCGTATTTCCACTGTCATTTCTAATTCATGATATGTTCTGAAAAGTTCACAGCCAGATCGTGCTGATTTTTTAACTGTCATCAGACAGAGTTAAGCAGCGACAAGTCTGGTCAGTATCTCGATGGGTGATCACTTAGGAATACCAGGTTTTGTAAATTTGGATGTGCTGTTCTAATTCACTTTGGGTTTGTTATATTTGTTCATGGGCAAATACCCTTGGGAAAGTTTGGTATCCGCCTCTTCTAACTCTAGCTCTGAGTTAATTAATAAAACTTGAATCACTAAACCATTATTATTTCCTCACCAGCCACATTCTAAAAAAATATGTTCAGGCTTTAAATAATCTGCAAAAAGGTTGATAGTCTGTAAAAAATAACTTAATAAGCTATGGTCTCTCTTGAGGAGTCTTTGCAAATATCAATGTCATTCTCTTGGTTAAGCCATTAATGTTCAATCTTCTGAAGCTAATCATACCAACTTCAGTTCTACTCACTTTCGGCTCTTAATTAACGATCTACCTAGGAACATTAACAAATGTCTATAAAGATGATATCGCAGATTATGGAGACCATTCCAAAAATCAAGATCTTGGATATTGTTAGCCACTTGTTATTCTAGTGTTATGGCAAACAAGCTACATTGTTTAGTCTCTGTACATTAATTTACAGCCAGGACCCTAAATACCATGTTCATGGTACGAAATCATTCCCATTCCATTTGTGTTCCTTTGGAAAGAAGTTCCATTCAGACAACTTCTTTCCCAGAACTGTTACTATGTGGAACGGACTCCCAGGTGGGTGCTTCCCTGATCACTACAATATTGACATTTTCAGATCGAGGGTCAACCGATATCTGTCTTACACGTCCTCCTAAACTGTATTTCTTATCTCCTCTTTCCCATTCCCTTTCATTAATGTAATTCAGTAACCCTCTACTATGAGTGGCTTTTGGGCCTTGGATTGGGTGAACTATAGGAAAAAGAAAAGAAAAATTCCAGTCCCCAGACTCTGGGAAATTGCTTTCCTTTCTTCAATATGATCAAACTGCTGAGATACTCTTCTTCATTCTTTACCCTCCCACAACCCCGGATCCCGAAAAAAAAACTTGGAGGCTTCTGATTGGCTATATCAGTCACTGGACTGGTTTAATTTTTATTATGGTTAATCTTAAACTAAGACTTTTTTTTTTTTAGAATAAAAATCTGAATTTAATTGTTTTTTCCCCCGTTAATTAAGATTAAAATTTCTTTTGCCATAAAGAAAAGTGTGTGCTGGTTGGAATTGTGGCTCTTGATGCAATAAAACATTTCTGACTTTGGTTCATAATTTACTTGCCCCTTTGATTTTTTGGACCCGTGCATCATTGAGACAGATACTGAGGTTGATTGGTTTGGTTTGGTTTGTTTTACGGCACATCAAAACCTCAATGGGTCATTTAATGCCAATAACTATTTTTTTTCTGGTAATATTTTTGTTTTGTCAAAAATCTATTCCTAAATCTAAAAAAATGTATAGCTGGTAATATTATTTTTCAAAAATGCATAGCTGGTAATATTATTCCAAAAACGTATTGCTAGTAAGTTTTTCTCTTTCAGAAACATATTGCTGGTAATATTCTTCTCTTTCCTCGAAAATTCATTGCTGGTAATAATTTTTTACAAAGTATTTCTGGTATTATAACCTATTTTTACACTTTTTTTAATGCTTTTTACCACAGTTTCTGGGTTAACTATTTACCCATAGCTGGTACCCGCTAACAGGTGCTACCACCAAGGCTCAGGGCGGACCTGGGAACATCAGCATTTAAGAGGTGGTTCCATGCTTTTAAAAACCTCCTGATCAGGGGCCTTGCTTGTTGGACGTAGTTTATCGTCTTCCCTTCGAGGCGGATGTAGTTTATCGTCATACCCAGGACGCACTGAGGTTGAAGGAAAGAAGAATCTATATATATAAAACAGAGTATGTGTGTGTGTCTGTCTGTGTGATACCTTTTCACTCGAGATCTATCCAAACGATTTCCACCAAACTTAGCGCATACATTATACAATAATTTTTTTAAAAAATCAATAATCAATAAAGCCGATCAAAAATCGATAATTTCAACTTTTTTCCTCTGATTTTGTTCAAGCTCGGTATGTAGGTTACTTACATCATGACGAGTTCAACAATACCTCATTTTTATTTCTACGCCACTCTGTATAGCGAGAAATCGCGAAAAACCAAAAATTGATTTCAACACAAATCGATTCCAACACAAATTTTAAACTAAAAACTCCCTCAATTTTCAAGCAATCTAATACAAACTTCACTCAACTGTAGCCAACAATAAGTTGATTGTTTAACAATCATTTAACTTGATAATCGAGTCCACCCATATAGCGAAAAACCGCGTAAATCGCGAAAAATGGTGATTTTTACTGGTTTCTTTCTTTTTTTGTATTGATCTTTCAACCAATTTTCATCATACTTAACAATTGCTTTATAAATGTATCCTCTTTTATATCCCTGGTAGAACATTGACAAAATGAATTTCAAAAACTCCAAAATAATTATGATCTGAAGTGGGTCTTCATATAGCCTGATTTACCCCTTCATGTTCTTGGCTAACTTTGACTGAATAAATACAGACTACTTCTATTATATCCATAACTGCATTAATTCAAAATGTTTTTTTAATGAAAGTACTTTAAAGTCATTGAAGAAGATATACTCTGTTACATCTAAACATGATGCTGTTTTTGCTCCATTCTAATTGAACGCTTTTTCGGATCGACCAGCTAGTTATGGCTGCTAGTATAAAGTAGTTAATAGAATCCAACGCCCGGCAAAAGGATTTTTGTACGAAACTTATCCCACAAATTACAGTCATGTTCCTTAAATCTACATAAGCAAAAATACCACTGGGAAAGCTATGATTCTATCTCTTCCCTACCAAAAATTTTAATTAAATACTAGGACATTTGAAAAATTCTTTGCCATTTTCTACAGAACCTTTAATGCTTTATTAAACTCGCAATAAAAAAGAATTCTTCTTACAATCCAAAATTGTTTCTCTCCATATCTGCCTTTCAAACTGTAATGCAGGAAGTAGTATGCACTCAACTGCGCATGAGTAATAGCTATTTATAATCGTTGTGACTTCCTATGTAAATGAGTCACTTCATTTCCCTGTACCAAATAGGTTTTATTCCCTTATTTTCCCTGGGAGTTTTTCTTCTGGGAGTTTTTGTCTCCTCATTATCTTCGTCCTTTTCGCTAAGAGATTATCTAGATATACGAAATCGTGATCTTTTTCTTATTTTCATAGGAGTGTTCCTCCAATGATTGTTCATCATTAGAGTTTATATTATTCTTGGTTTCACTGTCATGTTTGTCTTACCTTGACATAAAACTTTCGCCTTCATTACTTTCAGACTCGCTGTAAATTTCTTCATCGCTATCGTGTTGCAATCTAATTTGGTCTGCATGCACTAATATGCCATTTCCATTCTTTTCTATTATCATAGAGTTCTGTCCATTTTGGATTATGAATCTTGCAGTTTTGTAGATTAGATTCACTAGTATTTTTATACAACACTTTTTCGTTCGTAGCATAAGACATTAACTACTCATGATGGCGGACGGACTTCCAGCATATGGTATTGTCCTATAGCTTAACAACAATCTAGAAAGAAATATTTCTATCTTTTCTTTCCGTTGTAGATATATCTCCAATCCGTGTTGTTCATGATGACAGTTGTCTTTGAGTATAGAATCCAGAGGTTAGCAGTGAATATTCCGAAGACAGTAGGAAAGCGTTGTTCAGGTTAGCAGTGGATATCCCGGTAAAGTAGCAGACAAGCTGGTACTAGACATTCGGATAGAGTAAACAAAATGGCCGCCTTTATACACGACGGACTGAATGTTCTACGTCTTCTGATTGGTTAACCTTCTATTGGTGGACTATAAAGTGAGACAAGTCATTTGGGTTGGCTCACTAGTACATATATATACACAAAAAACTGCAACAGTTTGCACCATAATTTTACGAATAAATTTGATTGCAGATGGCACGGGTTGTTTTATATGGTTTGCATTCAATTTTGTTTAATCATTGGCATAATTTCTTGTCACAGAACTCTGGGGGTGTTGTTAGATACTAGGTTTTTGGAATTCCATTTCTTGAAAATATGATTTTTAACGCTTTTTTTTTTGTTTGAAACCCGTATTACTTCTGACCAGCTTAAAATCCCGTATTAGTAATAATCTCACGCCATTAACATGGGTATAATCCATATGTACTCTGTCCAAAGTTTAGGGCTCTTTAAGCCATATATCTGTTTTGTCTTTCTGAATTTTCTTCTTTCGATTCCCGTTTTACACCATTACGTATTTTTCTGCATCTGTAGAATAGCCTGGCCACCATGCCTCTAGCCTTAATCTCAATTGCGTAGACGTTTTTCCGCAATAAACATCGTCACGTATGTTTTTTTTTATATATATTTTTTCTCCTTTGCGTTGCTGGCAGAACCCATTTATTAAAAATTACACCCTTTTTCTACGGTTAACTTTAAAGCTCCATTCTGCTCGTGAGCAGTTATTCCACTAAATATTTTTATCGTGAATAACATACTGTTCAATATGGGATTTTGTTTCGTATCCTCAGCTAATTTGTCTATCGACAAAATATCAAATCCAACCCAATGTAAGAAAGTATCTTCAAATCTTTCCTCTTCTTTCTCACTTTCAGAAGGAACCTCAATATTAACAAAGCATCTACATGCGCAATGTTATTCCCTTTCATGTACTATCAAAGTCAAACGCCATTAATATTAAGGCCCATCTTAGAATTTTAGAAGACGTTACCTTAGGAAGTTCCATTCTAGGATTCTAGGATTAAATATGAATTCTAAAGGTCTATGATAGGATCTTAGGAGAAATGTCTTTCCAATCCGTTGTAACATACCTACGGGCGATAATGGGTATGTCCCCAATCACATAAATACAGTAGTAAATACTGCATGTTGGTCTGCTTCTGGA